AGTAGGTAGTGGTATCCAGAGCGAATTCCGTAAGAATCAGCCCTGGACTGGCCCCTAGCCTACCTGCTCTCTCAAAGGTTTCCCTAGGATGGAAGGTGGGGATGAGGGATTTACTTACCACCAGCCCATACTCCTCGTTGGGGGCCAAGTGGTTGTCTGTGAGCAGCCGAGCAGCCTGCAGAACTCGAATGATGCCCTCCATGTGGCATGTCAGCGTGAAGCAGTGATGGGCCAGAATCAGCAGCTCTGTGGCTGATTAGGTGGGGTACTGGTCAGATAAGATTGTGAACCCTGGCCACCCACCTACACACAGCCTGGAGAAGGCTCTTCACCAGTCCTCTGAGATCCCTGGCCGCACCAGCTCCAGCTCTGGGACAACTCCCACCCCCCAGATGATGTCTAAATTCTTCTCGGTGACAGTACAATCTCTCCCCAAAGACAGTCATGTAGTGACTGCACAGTGACATTTTGAGGCCAAGGCACATGAGAACAAGGAATCCTTGACTTCTAATGATGGAGACACTCTGGAGACAAACTGATAGAGTTCATGCCAACATGAACCCGAACCCGAGGGCAGTTTCTATCTCAGTGAAGAGTCCTGGGGCCTAATCAAGAGCCACATGACGTTCTGCACTTCCTCTGAGAGGAAGAGAGAGGGAAACACCGATCTCCTGCATGCATGCTAAACGGGTCGAATCTGCAACCTGGGTATGTGCTCTGACTGGGAATCGAACCCTCCACCTTTGGTGCACGGGTGACACTCCAACCAACTGCGCCATACTGGCCAGGGCAATATTCTGCACTTCTGATGGCTTTCTAGATTAACAAAAGATTTGACTACATACAAATTCCAAACTATTACACATAATCACTGTAAGCGAATTAAAAAGCCAACTGGGAAAAATGTTTGCAATGTTGAAGACAGCAACAGGGTTCCCAGCCTTAATACATGTGCCTTTTGGGTCTTGGTACCTGTGGAACCCTCCCCAAACCTGACTACTGAGCAATCTTGACTACTAATCCTTCAGGCCTTGGTTTGGACATTTCCTCCAAAAACATTTCTTGACCCTCGTCAGTCTGGCTCTTACTGTGTCACACCCCTAGTCTGGGCTCCAGGGACTGCTGCTTTATGTTCACCACATCCCTGGTTTTTAGAGTACTTAGCACACAGCTGGTACTCTGTACATACTGTTGAACTGGACTGAGAAGAGAAATAGAAAGCTATTTTTAAAGTAAAACTGTTCAAACTTTAAAAACTTATATTTATTTGTTCACTAAAGATCATTAAAATTCCCTTTTTGGGTCTATCAAATTTGCAAAGTGGAATGGGTTCCAGGAAATACTACTTTCACCTCTGCTTAAGTGGGAGTAAGAAGTGAACTTTTTTTCTGGAGTAAAAGTTGACAATATATATACAAGCTTTAAAAACATCATGGAAAGATGTTAATGACAGCATACTTTTGAATCACAGTTCATCTTAGGGAAATAATCATGGGTGTGCACATAGACTTGCCTATAAGGATGTTTGCCAGTATATTAAGACAGAAAATTGGAAATAATATAAAGTCCCACAATAGGGTCTACAATTTTTTTAAAAATTGAGTTTAGAGAGAGGAAGGGAGAGGGAAAGAGAGAAACATCGATGAGAGACAAATGTTGATTGGCTGCCTCCTGCACACCCCTACTGGGGATCAAGCCCGAAACCAGGCACGTGCCCTGACCAGAAATTGAACCGTGACCTCCTGGTTCATAGGTTGATCTTCAACTACTGAGCACACCAGCTGGGGCAGGGTCTACAATTTTTAATTACATATAAGAGAAATACTGTGTAACCATTAAATATGATATAGGATATCCTCGGAAGAGGATACACAACAAGAAATAAATTTTAAAAAATCAGTGTTTTAAAAAATGATATAGGAGAATATTCAATGGAAAGATGTTAATGACAGCATATTCATAAATTAATTATAAACAATATGCAAAACTCATTTTTGAAAAATAAAAGCCTATTGATTTGCATAGAACAAGATCAGAGGGACACATATTTCTGAATGCCTGTAATGAACTAGACATTGTGGAAAGTGAGTGAGCTTTTAAATCACACAGACTGGGTTCAAATACCAGTTCTGCCATTTAATAGTTAATCAACCTCTCTAAGCTTCAGTCTCCTTCTAAAGTGGGGACAATAATATCCACTTTGTAAGGTAATTTAAGAGTGAAATAAGATAAATATGCCAAATGTTAAAGGTTTACCTTTGTGTGATTTTAAATTTGGGGCTGCTTTTCCATACATACCCTCTAAACTTTCTTTAATGAACTTACGGCTTTCTGCCAAGAACTTATAAACTATTCTGGAGGAGTAGGGGTGAGAGCAGGAAGGATCCAAATTGAGTTTTGGGAAGACTAGCTCTAGAAGACTTCTTGAAGACCTGCTTGGGCCCAAAACATGTGAGAAAATGGCCAAGAACTTACTGCAGGACAATTCCCCATGGGGAACGGAGGAAATCTTTTCCAACAACTTCATGCCTACCAAGGTGCGGTCTTGACACAAAGTGGTTAGCTGAAGAAATGCCTGACTTTCTTCTGCTGGGGTGACCATCTGCTTCTGTCCTGTACAGAAAGACATGGAGAAAGGCACTGGTTTACCTGGAGACAGTTGAGAGAAAGGTAAGAGCCCCATGCTGCCCTGGCCTGGGCACCAGGAAGTAATGCTGAAGGAGTTCCCAGTGCAGCTCTTCTCTTGGCCTAGTGGTCAGCTGACACAACAGCAGGAGTTCATTAGCTCAGAGGAAGGCACAGCTACTCTAAGCATAATTGTAAAACAATGAATGAACAAAAAGTGATTACAACAAAATAAACGCAATGCATTCTCCTCTTATGAGTGCAACCTGGCAACTTGAGAGGGCAACATGCAGGACATATGAGCATAACATCCAAATCCTTAACACTAGGTACTTGTGAGAGTTGTCTGAAAAGCTGAGGAAGCCTGAAGGGAGGGTACCTGCTCCCTCTGATGGGGACAGTAGCTCCCGGGTCACCTCTTCGGCCACAAGGTCAGCCACCCTGTCTGGCTCCAGGCCCTGAGTGCTGATGAAGGCTTGGGCTCGCTTGCATCGGTCAGGCTGCGGAGAGGCCAAGATTGCTCGGAGTATGGCCTCACCATCCTGAGCAGCAACATCTGTGTAGGAACAGCCCAACTCCTGAAAAGAAGACAAGTCAGTCAAAGCTACTGTTAGGAGCCAGGAAAAAGCTAGCCCCTTCTGAATTCTGATGTGGACAGGCTGCATTGCTTGCCATGAGCAGGAACCTTAAAAGAAGCAAGCACTATATTCCAGTTCTTTCCACCACTTCACCAATGAGCTGGATCCAAGGAAGAGAGTCTTGTCTTCAAAAAGCATCAGGTAACTTATCTTGTATTGAACCCTGAGTTTTTCAGATGTTATACAATGTGAGAAAGTTGAATAAAAGGCAAGAGCCCCTTCCGTGTTGTTCCCACAACAGCTGCATAAGCCTCAATTTCCAAGGAAGCCTCTGAACCTCACCCAAGGCGAATGGCATTACTGCTCCGCTCTGTCTCCCGTGCTCGTCCCACTGCACTTAGCATCTACTGTTTTTCTCCTTCAGTCAGCACAAAGCCACAAACAGTTCCTGGCTGCACCGCTCCTGTCTTTAGGGTCATCATATTCCATTTTATTTTATTCTGAACTTATTTTGGGCTCCCCCTGACAAGGAAAGCTCCTGAAGCAAGACCTAAGATATTAGGGTCAGAAGGGACTCTCTTGGTCAAGTCACTTATAGATCAAGAACTAGGGTTTAAAGAAGTGAAATGTCTGGCTTTAATTTCTGGTTGGCTAAGCGGCAGCCAGGACTCAAGTCACCATGGCACTTGGGTGGGCATCCTCCCCATTATTTCCAAGAAATGATTTGTATCCTGACAAGAGCTCTACTCCCAGGTCACGATCATCACCTAATGGGCTGACTTGGCAATGTGCAAACTCTTCCTCGAGCTTCACGCTTCCCTCCCTCTCAGAGGGAGGTTCCTGTGGAGCCCCCCCCCCCCCCCACTTTGGCACTACCTTGGAAAGTTCATACAGACAGAGGACCCGTCGGCAGTAGTTCTTCCCATGGAGGCATTTGTGTGTCAGAGTTTCCAGATTAGTCACCATTTCATCACTGGGGGGCAGCATCACAAATGACTGACTCTCCAAACTTGAAGCTAGAAGCAAATACAGATTGAAGGTGGGGGGGGGGGGGGGGGGGTGACGAAGCTGGTAAGTTAAGGCCTCTCCTCAGCCCGCTATGGCTCTGCCTCTCTGCCCACAACTTACTGCACTGTACCCCCATCAGTCCCCCGGGTCTGGGTCCACTTGAACTTCTTTCATTGCCTTCTTCCAGGGAATCCCAGGCTGAGATACCTCACAGGCCTCATAGGCTACAAAAGACTCAAAGCCACCTAACGGGCACTCTAAAGATGGTCACCAAACTTGACTGATAGACTCTCCTCCTCACCCTCTCCTCCTAATTTCCCTTATCAAATAAGTCACCAGGTCTAGCTGACTGTATCTCCAAAACACCTCTCCATCACCACCTTAGTTCCAGCCTTCAGCACCCGGCATCTATGAGGCTGTCACTGGTCCCTGCTGCCAGCCTCCCCTTGTCCCCAGGTCAATCTTCCACATACTCATCAGGGTCTTTCTTAAAATGCAAATCATACAAAAAAAAAAGGATCATCTGGATAGATACCTTAAGGGAATAGTAAAATTAAAATCCACTCCTGATTAAAAACAAACAACAAATAAATGCTCTTAGTCTGAAATAGAAGAAAGCTTTCTTATTTTGATCAAGTGTTTCTATTAGGTAAAAAAGTAGATTATTTATATAACACTATTTCTAATCGCAAAAACAAAATTGAAAATTTAAATCTGTATCAATAAAGCGTTGTTAAATAGTAGTATATCTGCATAGAATACTCTGCGGCCATTAAAAAGAATGAGGCCATCCTCACTTTGGCAGCACATATACTAAAATTGGAACAATACAGAGAAGATTAGCATGGTCCCTGCGCAAGGATGCCATGAAAAAAAAAAAGAAAAAAAGAATGAGATCAATCAATCTGTGAACTGAAAAAAAATGTAGAACAATGTAATTTTATTTTCGTAAGAAAGAAATAGTGTGTGTGTGTGTGTGTGTGTGTGCATGCGCACTGGCACACACAAGCCCACAAGTATAAAACAATGCATGCCAAGCAAGTAAATACTTATTTTAGGGAATTTGGTGGGGGTGGTGTTGAATGGGTAAATGATTTCACTTTATGCATTTATGTATTGTGTTATTTGCTACACTAAACATGTAATACTTTTGCATTTAAGACATTATCCATTAAAAAATAGACTTTAGCCCTAGCCACTCTGGCTCAGTAAACAGAGAGTCAGCCTGCAGACTAAAAGGTCCCAGGTTCGATTCTAGTCAAAGGCACATGCCCAGGTTGTGGGCTCGATCCTCAGAAGGGGACGTGCAAGAGGTAGCCAATCAATGATTCTCTGTCATCATTGATGTTTCTAGCTCTCTCTCCCTCTCACTTCCTCTCTGAAATCAATAAAAGCATATTTTTAAAAATACACTTTAAAGACCAAAGTAAAAAGCAACTCAGACCATGTTATTCCCCCATTTAAAATCCTTCTTCGGGGGTTCCAGTTCTAGGTAAGGAGATCACTCCACCCTTCTCTCCCACTGAACTCAACATAAAACCTGGACACTGCATGCAGCACCATACAAGGACTCTGAAATGGAAACAGCAGCCGGTGGAATGCAGATAACCAGAATTACCACTTTCTTCCCCTCTAGTAACCGCCAGCCTGAAGGCAGTGCCACCTAAAACCTAGAACTGAGCATTAAGGCTCACAGAGAGAGTGTGCTCCCCAGGAAAAGCCCTCTAGTATGGGCGCAAGGAGTAGGAACAGGAACTCCTAATGCTCATTCTCTCTCATCTCAGCTCCTAAGCAACCATTTGGCCTTGGTGACAGAGGCTGACGCAGCAGGTGGCAAGAACCAAAACTCAGAAAGGAACCTTTGAGGATCAGAGGAGCTCTGGTCTCAAGAGGGTGGAGTGATCCTGTTCCTTTTTGCATTAGCCACCCCCCCCCCCCCCCCGTAAGGTGGCCCTGGATGCAGTCAAATTCAGGGAAGTGCATGGCAGAATGGGGTAACTAAATTCCAGCTTTTGGCCAGAGGACTGAAAAGGGAAGGCTCAGAAAACCAGAAAGCACTTGGGAGAGAGATTCAGGAAAGCAACATGAAGGTGTTTATAAAACTGAATTAACAGATAAACCACTGCCCAGGTCATAGACTGACCTGAGGATCGTACACACATGGATGGATCTGAATAGTATCACAAAGAATTTGAAAAGTGCACTGGGTTGGCCCACAGAAAGTGGGTCGGAACCTGTAGCCTAAACCTAACCAGGTCAAACGCCTGCTAAAAAAATATCAAAATTCTTCATAGGATTTAAATTAAGACTCAGAGTCTCATATCATACTATTCAAAATGTTTAAATGCAACACAAAATTACTCAACATACAAATATACAGGAAAATCTCAACTCATGTGAGAAAAGACAACAGATGACAGAGTACTAAAATGACACAAATGTTGAAATTGTCTGATTAAGATTAAAGCAACTAGCCCAGCTGGTGTGGCTCAGTGGTTGAGCATCAACCTAAGAACCAGGAGGTCATGGTTCGATTCCCAGTCAGGGCACATGCCTGGGTTGTGGGCTTGATCACCAGTGTGGTGTATGCAGGAGGCAGTCGATCAATGATTCTCTTTCATCATTGATGTTTCTCTCTCTCTCTCTCTCTCTCTCTCTCTCTCTCTCTCTCTCTCTCTCTCTCCCTTCCTATCTGAAATCAATTCAAAAACAAAAAGATTAAAGCAGCCACTATACAAATGTCCCAACAAGCAATTATGACTGCTCTATGATAAACAGAAAAACAAAGTCTCAGCAAATAAATAGAAGGTGTAAAGAATAAAATGGAAATTTAACACTGAACAATAACTGAAATTTAAAAATCACAGAAATGAAAACACTCAATAGCAGAATAAAAATGCCAGAGAAGTCTGGCTTGCTGGTGTTGCTCAGTGGTTGGGTGTCGACCCATGAACCAGGTCATGGTTCGATCCACAGTAGTGTGGGAGGCAGCCGATAGATGATTCTCTCTCATCATTGATGTTTCTATCCCTCTCCCATCCTCTCTCTGAAATCATAAAAACATTTTTTTAAATGCTAGAGAAAACAGTCAGTGAAACTGAAGACAGATGAACAGAAATTATCCAATCTGAACAATAGAGAGAGAAAAAAAAAAGAAAAACTGAACAAAGCCTCAGGGACTTGTGAGACACTAATAAAAGTTCTAAGATTCATGTCCCAAAAGGATAGGAGTAAGAGTATGGTGCTGAAAAAAGTATTTGAAAAGGTAATGTCTTAAAACAACCTAAATTTGGTGGAACTCACAAAACTACATGTTCAAGAAGCTTAGTGAACCCCAAATCAGATAAATACTAAGAAATACATGCCCAGCCACATTATAATCTAACTGCTGAATACCAAAGACAGAAAAACATCTTGAAAGCAACCAGAGAAAAATGCATTATTTATATGGGAAAAAAAGAATTCAAATCACTGCACATTATTCATCAGATACCATGGAGGTCAAAAGGAAGTGGTACAAAAGATGGCAGTATAGGTAAACGCCGGTACTCGCTGCCTCCTACAACCACATCAAAATTACAACTAAAATACAGAACAACTATCATTCAGAACTGCCTGAAAGCTGGCTGAATGGAAGTCCTACCACTAGAGGAAAAAAAAAAGAAGTCCTGCCCTAACCGGTTTGGCTCAGTGGATGGAGCAACAGCCTGCAGATTGAAGGGTCCCAGGTTCGATTCTGGTCAAGGGCATGTACCTTGGTTGCAGGCACATCCCCAGTAGGGGGTGTGCAGGAGGCAGCTGATCGATGTTTCTCTCTCATCGATGTTTCTAACTCTCTATCCCTCTCCCTTTCACTCTGTAAAAAAATCAATAAAATATATTTAAAAAAAAGAAAAGAGAGATTTTTTTTTTTTTTAAAGAAGCCCTACAACTAGACTGGTAGGAAGGGTGGAAAGGTGGAATAGGCTGATTTGGCACCCACATGGGCCATTTTTTTAATCCAGAGGGAGATTGTCCCTGCTGAGGCCACCATGAGGAGCAAGGGGTCCCAGCCCCACACCAGACCCCCAGCCCAGGGTCCCAGACTAGGAAGAGAAATCCCCGTAACTTCAGGCTGTAAAAACCAGTGAGGATTGTGGCTGCAGGACACGGAGGCTGCTGGAGACCCAGGTGTCCCTCTTAAAGGGCCAGACACAAATTTACTCAGACTCACTTCCTCTGAGATCTAGGGCCCTGAGTCACTGGGGAACCCAGACACATAGGAGGAGGAACTGGATTGTCTGGCATCAGGACAGGAACTTGGGGGCGGCCTTCTACCAGATGGAGATGCTCGCAGGGGTCATTGTTCCTATGCTGAGACCTCCCCCGTCCCAAGGCTGACTGGCAACCATATCTGAGTCGCCATCAACCTGGAGAACACTGTTTGCTCTACCATGGTGATTCTCTGAGACCCCGCCCCATCCAATTTGCAACCCCACCCAAGCCGTTTGCAGCAGCTTTTCCACATAAATTGCCTGTCCTGGCTCAGACTTCAGACTTTGCTAAATCTCTCAAACAAGCTGCAGCTGGTGTGAGGGTGCCCCAAATCTATCAATAAAAGGCCCAAGACCTGGCACTAGTACCAGCCTACCTTGCTTCACAGCTGGGCCTCACCTGGGCACTTCTTAGCCCAATACAAAAGCAGCCATCTGCAGATCTCTCTGTAGCTCCTGCTGGGTGGCCCTCGGAAGTGACTAACTTTGCACCTCCCTTCAGACATAACAGATTACAACTCTATATATTCACAAGCAACACAATCAAGGGGCAGACTCAGTGAGTACCAAAGCCCTACTGAAGGAAGTCCTGCTCCATAAGGGTGTTTCCTGCATAGCAGCTCTCCCACTGTAGCCACAGCTGGTCCTCACAGCCAATTGTCCTGGAAGTAAATTCCTCCCAGTGATGCCAACAGCAATCAAAGCTCAACTACAAGACTGCACACAGCCCACAGAAGTACATCTAGAGGGCCCAGCTCAGGTGCCTGGAGAGACTGAGACCCTGGGCACTACAGGACACCTACTACACAAGGCCACTCTACCAATTCCAGGAGACATAGCAGCTCTACCCAAACAAACACAGGGAAGCAGCCAAAATGCAGAGACAAAGAAACATTACACAAATGAAAGTAATGGAAGAAAGCAAACTACTGGATACAGAGTTCAAAACCATGGTTATAAGGTTACTCAAGGATCTTCAAGGAACTTAGACTTTCAAGGATCTTAGTCAGAATTCCAAAGACATGGAAAAGGACCATTCAGAAATTAAGCATACACTAATTGAAACAAAGAATAATTTACAGGGATTCAACAGTAGAGTAGAGGATTCAAATCAACAATATGAAATATGAGGAAGCAAAAAACACCCAATCAGAAGAGAAAAATAAAAAGAATCCAAAAATATGAAGAGAGTGTAAGGAGCCTCTGGGACAACTTCAAGCATAGCAACATTCGCATTATGGGGGTGCCAGAAGAGAGAGAGCAAGATATTGAAAACCTATTTGAAGAAATAATGACAGAAAACTTCCCCTACCTGGTGAAAAAAATAGACTTACAAGTCCAGGAAACTCAGAGAGGCCCAAACAAGAGGAACCCAAAGAGGACCACACCAAGACACATCATAATTAAAATGCCAAGGGCTAAAGACAAAGATAGAATTCTAAAAGCAGCAAGAGAAAGAGAGCGCCCTTGTCAGTTAATTTCTCAACAGAAACTATACAGGCCAGAAGGAAGTGGCAAGAAATATTCAAAGTGATGAATAGCAAGGACCTACAACCAAGATACTCTACCCAGCAAAGCTATCATTTAGAATTGAAGGTCAGATAAAGAGATTCATAGAAAGAAAAAGCTAAAGGAGTTTATGA